AAATATTCTCCTATTCTGGGAACATTCATTTTTAAGTTGCAAGGAGGTTCTGATATGGTTCCTTTAATGTTTTCCTGGGAGGTTTTATTAATGTTAGAACGGAAATGATAGGTTATTTGAAGGTAATTAAATAATGTTCTGAGAACATGTTTCAATAAGACTTTCAAATAACACTGCTAGTTTTGTTGTTGTGAACTCCAAGCACAGATATAAATTCATTCACCTAGGCAGTAATCATGCAAACCCATTAATTTGTTATTGTGGCATGGCGTCTGTGAGATTCGAACCTATGATCTTCTGGTCTGTCCATGGAATTAGTCCGCTGCGGCACCAGGATGGAGCTAGCATACCATGTTTTTTTTTACTCATACCAAGCTGTTCATTTTAGTTTATTCAAACGGACCCTATTTCAAAGGAAACAAGCACTCATTAAGATCAGGTGTGGCCAATTATTGGGCGTGGCCAAAACACCTGAACACACTTAACAAGATAGAGGATAGAGAGAGTTTTGTTGATGCTAAGAAAGGAATGTATATGTTTTTAACTAACATTCTTATAACTTTTTTTAACTTTACTCATGTTTTCTTCTGGATTATTTGGAAAGTTTTCTTAATGTTCTGAGAACATTACTTTTAACAGGACCATGAGGAAACCTGCAGAAAACGTTATGCTGAAGTACTTGTCACGCCCTGGCTCTGGGGACACTGTTATGTTGAGCCAGGGTGTGTAGATCTATGTATTCCATTTCTATGTTGGCCAGTGTGGTTCTCAATCAGAGGCAACGAGTGTCAGCTGTGGCTGGTTGTCTCTGATTGGGAACCACATTTAAACAGGCTGTTTGCCCACAGTGGTTGTGGGATCTTGTTCGTGTTGGTTTGTGTTTGACCATTGACTGTCACGTTATCGTTTTTGTTGTTTTTTGATCGTGTATCATAAATAAAGAGTATGTTCGTCTGCAACGCTGCGCCTTGGTCCTCATCTCTTACCGACGATCGTGACAGAAGATCCCACCAAAACTGGACCAAGCAGCGTGTCCAGGAGCCATCGCCAGGGGAATCGCTAGCAGATCTCCGTGGCAACCTCGACTGGGTCAAGCCTAGTGAGGAGCAGAGAGGGTGGACTTGGGAACAGTGGAGGAAGAGCTTCGACTGGGTCAAGCCAAATGAGGACCTGAATGGTGGGAGTTGGAAGCAGAAGAGCGAGAGTTGGGCGAGAACTATAGAGGCCTGGCCCACGGGGAAGAGAGACCCCCAGAAATTTTTTAGGGGGGGGGCTCACGACGTCGGGGCAGCAGGAGGCCGCGATAGAGCGGCCCAGCGGGTTGGCAGAGGAGGCCGCCAGGTTACGGGGGCCACTGGTCGAAGAGGGGATGGAAGGTGTAGAGGCACGGCGAGAGGTACTGGGGTGTGTTACCAGTCCGGTCCGGCCCGTTCCAGATCCGGTGTAGGGCCAGTGGTGTGTGTCCCCAGTACGGTCCGGTCTGTTCCTGCCCCCCGCACCAAGTGTACGGTGCGCGTCGCCAGCCCAGCCCGGCCTGTTCCTGCCCCTCGCACCAAGCCTACGGTGCGCATCGCCAGCCCGGCCCGGCCTGCTCCTGCCCCTCGCACCAAGCCTACGGTGCGCGTCGCCAGCCCGGCCCGGCCTGCTCCTGCCCCTCGCACCAAGCCTACGGTGCGCGTCGCCAGCTCGGCCCGGCCTGTTCCTGCTCCTCGCACCAAGCCTATGGTGCGCTTCGCCAGCCTGGCCTGGCCTGTTCCTGCTCCCCGCACCAAGCCTATGGTGCGCGTCGTCAGCCCGGTCCAGCCCGTTCCTGCTCCACGCACCAAGCCAGGGGTGCGTATCTTCAGCCCGGTCCGGCCCGTTGCTGCTCCACGCACTAAGCCAGGGGTGCGCATCGTCAGCCCGGTCCGGTCCGCTCCTGCTTCCCGCACCAAGCCAATGGTGCGCGTCGCCAGCCCGGTTCGGCCCGCTCCTGCTCCTCACACCAAGCCAGTGGTGTGCGTCGTCAGTCCAGCACGGCCCGTGCCTGTTCTCCACACCAAGCCAGTGGTGGGCGTCGTCAGTCCGGCACGGCCCGTGCCTGTTCCACTGGTGCCTGGTCCGGCACCGGTCAGATGCGTTACGCCGGAGCTAGAGCAATCCGCTCCATCAGTGTGCAGTCCAGCTCCGGCCAGCGGGGCCAGACCGGACCAGGGGTACTTTGGGGGGTTGGAGAGGGAGTGGGGATCAGGCCTGGAGCCGGATCCGCCGCCAAGGCGGAGTGCCCACCCGGTCCCTCCCCTGTGGTATTTAGTTGGCGCGGTCGGAGTCCGCGCCTTTAGGGGGGGGTACTGTCACGCCCTGGCTCTGGGGACACTGTTATGTTGAGCCAGGGTGTGTAGATCTATGTATTCCATTTCTATGTTGGCCAGTGTGGTTCTCAATCAGAGGCAACGAGTGTCAGCTGTGGCTGGTTGTCTCTGATTGGGAACCACATTTAAACAGGCTGTTTGCCCACAGTGGTTGTGGGATCTTGTTCATGTTGGTTTGTGTTTGACCATTGACTGTCACGTTATCGTTTTTGTTGTTTTTTGATCGTGTATCATAAATAAAGAGTATGTTCGTCTGCAACGCTGCGCCTTGGTCCTCATCTCTTACCGACGATCGTGACAGTACTGAAATTCCCACAAAAGAACGTTGTTTCTTAACGTTCTCTGAATGTTTTGAGAACATGACTTTAAATAGAACCATGAGGAAACCTGTAGGAAATGTTATGGCAGCATTTCCCAAACTACGCGTCACTTGATTATAAAATGGGGAGACAAACTCTGAAATGAATACAAATGATTATGCTTGGTTCATAGAACTGGGGTTACGTCAGATGCGGTGGTAATAAACACAGCGGTTTCTGTTTTCTTCCCAAAAATGTGACTATCTTTTGAATTGTTTAAGCTACAAAATATTATGACCCACTGAAAGACAAGACTCCCAGGAACACTGCCACGACTTCGGCCGAGGCAGCCTCCCCTCCTTGTTCGGGCAGGCTTCGGCGTTCGTCGTCACCGGCTTACTAACCACTGCCGCCCCAATCATCATCACAATTGTCTCGTCTTGTCAATCACACACACCTGGTTCCTATCCCCTAATTAGTCTGTGTATAAGTGTTCCCTCTGGCCCCTTGTCCTTGTGGGTGATTGTTTATTGTGAGAGTATTGCAGCTCGGTGGAGCTACGCAGATCGTTGTGTTGCCAGGGTAGATTTTCCCCCTGTGCCTATGTATATTTGGATTCTGTTACAGTGTATTTACCAGGGATGTTTGTTTCCCCTGTGCCTGTTTCGTTGATCGCTATTGGAGCTTGTGTGTTTCAACAAAGGAATAAACTCTGTATTCAGTGACTACCCTCCTGCGCCTGACTCCTTTCACCACACTCATCACACTTATGTTTCCCTCTACAATGCCCACAAGCCTCATTAGAACATAATGGACAAGACCAGGCACTAAATCAGACTGGGGGGAAAAATAACATCATAGACTGTCATACCAACAATTAAAAAAGTAAACATTGACCGTTGCTTACATCACTATTTTTTGTACGCAATAAACCATAGGACAACCACGCTCTCACCAAGCTCTAAGAAACATGTGGTTCTCAGAACGTTATGTGCTAGCTGGGATGTGGTTGTCTCACCTAGCAAGTTTAAAATGAATGCACTTTCTGTAAATTGCTCTGGATTAGAGCATCTGCTAATGACTAAAATGTCAAATGTAAACGTTCTACATACAGATCTCATATTACTGTACTGAATAATTTTAAATATTGATGTCACAAATTTTTCATTCATACATTTCTTTATAATAAATTTAGTTATTTGATACATTTTACTGTGTGGAACCTAGCAGTACTAACAAATACATGTTTGTCATTGAACAACCTCATTAGATAGTGAAAAAACACACCTATCTCTTTCAGAATTTCTTTAAACAATATAAGCTAATTTACCAACATTTCTGAAAATTTATATATAGCGTTTTGGAATGAAACTGTTCAATTTATTCAGGCTGTTTTCTGGCTGTTTTGCATACACTTTTCCCTTGAATGAAACACACTATCCAAACCAACATCTGAGAGCAAGTACTGAGTAGGCAAAATGGAATGTGAGGAATTATGAGGTTTATTGATATTTCAAATAAGGGTATAGTTACTGTACAGTACATCTTTGAATTCAGAAAGAAAGAATGACAACATCAAAGTGACTTAGGGCAACATTCTATTTTAGTAAGAATACTACATAACTTTGACAATGATTAAACACACTATCCAAACCAACTAATCTGAGAGCAAGTATACTGAGTAGACGAAGTAACAAAATTGAATGTGTTGAATTCATGAACAGATCATAATGGTTATCTATATTTCAAAAATTTGACTGTTACTGCTCATCTTTTCAAATGGATAGAATGATAGAAAATCATCTGATGTAAGTGATCGAGTGACTTGGTACAACATATTAGTTTGTTAAAATAATAACATAACAAATACAATATTAAGCCTACAAATCCTTGCCAATTATATATTGAAATATATTAAAAACATTGCCAATTTCAGTAAACAAACCAAAATGTAATTGAAAATGGTTGTCTGAAACCATGGAATGTCAGCTTTACAAAACACATCCAGTGAATTTCCAGAGAATCACAAGCTGTCTGACTTGTCAGTCTATACCTGTCAAACACACTGCCCTTCATAAACCACAACCTTTACTGAACAATTAATTACCCTTAAAGTCTTTAGTGACTTGATGTCTCTTGTTACATAGTTGTTGCAAGCCCTGTACCCACCTACTTAACAAAACAATTAGATACACTTTCATTCCAAGGAATAGTGGTGACGTGGTCAATCACGCTTAATCCAACTGTATAAAAAGCTCGAGGACACAAAAGGAGTTATTTTACCTGTCGCCTCCAACTCGGAAGAACGCACTTTAACCTCCCAGGACGCATCGCCAGACTATCTCTCGCCATGTCCATTGTAGCCAGTCGCAGTAGTAGCCGTAGCTACAGCTCACGTAGCGGTGTCGGTTCGAGTGGCCTCAGTTCTACCGGTGGGATGCTGTTTTCCAACGGTTTGGGAGGCGGTAGGTCCCGTATGAGCGTGTCATCTCTTGGGAGCAGTCGCGCGCCGAGTGTATATGGAGGTGCCGGGGGATACGGCACCCGTATCTCTCAATCCTCTTTCTCTATGGACGGGCCAGGCCAGATCACTTTCAGCGCCAACGAGAAGCATACCATGCAGAATCTGAACGACCGTTTGGCCACCTACCTGGAAAAGGTAAGGAAGAGTGACGGGGATGTGGATGGCGATTACGCCACGCGAGCTGCGCGATATTATGCACGTCCCAGATTATGAGCGTGGAGACCAACAGACAAGAGAGAGTGATAACTCTTTTCAAAATACTACATATTCGATGATACAGATTTTTTTAATGAGCAAATTATCTTCAATCTTTGTTATGAAAGCATTTTTGTTTTAAATAACCCCTTTCATGAATATAATCCACAATGTTAAATTAAATATGATAATACAGTAGGCTACAGTAAATTGACCCCATACATTAATACATTTTTGTTTTAAATAACCCCTTTCATGAATATGATCCACAATGTTAAATTAAATGTGATAATGCAGTAGTCTACAGTAAATTGACCCCATAAATATATATATATAAAACCCCTTTTACTTAACTTTTAACTTTTTAAAAACGATTTATTCCATCATTAACTTTTCTAATTTTAAAATTGCTATTGTGAAGAAACAGTAACCTATAGTTTGCCCGTAAAGCTCCAAGGAGAAGTCTCATTACTATTAAAATACACACCTGTATTACTATTATAAACACATTCCTAAATACATAATGAGGACAATGACATAGCAGGATTTGATCATTTATTTTCAATTCCATTATGTTGGGGATTATCTAATGGGAGTGTGCAGATTCACATAACATGATGGTGTGCGCCCCAAATGGCACCCTATTCCCTATGTAGTGCACAACATGGCCCATAGGGCTCTGGTCAAAAAATAGTGCTCTAAATAGGGAATAGTGTGCCATTTCTGATAGACCCATGAACTGAACTGATTCCCTCCACTAACCTTTACTTTGCCTGTAAATCTCCAAGGATAAGTCTTATTATTATTAAAAGACACACCTGTATTACTATTATAAACACACGTTCCTAAATACATAATGAGGTCAATGACATAGCAGGATTTGATCATTTATTTTAAATTCCATTATGTTGGGGATTATGTTATGGGAGTGCACTGATTCACATAACGTGATGGAATGCGCCCCAAATGGCACCCATAGGTCCTATTTTGGATAGACCCATGAACTGAACTGATTCCTTCCACTCCCTTTGTACACAGGTGCGCTCTCTAGAGGCAGCCAATAGTAAGTTGGAGCTGCAGATCAAAGAGTTCTACGAGATGAGATCACCGACTCACAAGAAGGACCTCAGTGGGTTCTATGCCACCATCGCAGACATCCGCAACAAGGTACTTCTGGGTAATGTAGTTTTAATGTAGCAACCCACTGGGCACACACTGGTTGAATCAACATTGTTTACATATTTTAACAAATTTATAAAAATAAAAAAACGGAAATATCACATTTACATAAGTATTCAGACCCTTTACTCAGTACTTTGTTGAAGCACCTTTGGCAGCGATTACATCCTCAGTCTTCTTGGGTATGACGCTACAAGCTTGGCACACCTGTATTTGGGGAGTTTCTCCCATTCCTCGCTGCAGATCCTCTTAAGCTCTGTCAGGTTGGATGGGGAGCGTTACTGCACAGCTATTTTCAGGTCTCTCCAGAGATGTTCGAACGGGTTCAAGTCCGGGCTCTGGCTGGGCCACTCAAGGACATTCTGAGACTTGTCCCGAAGCCACTCCTGCATTGTCTTGGCTGCGTACTTAGGGTCGTTGTCCTGTTGGAAGGTGAACCTTCGACCCAGTCTGAGGTCCTGAGCACTCTGGAGCAGGTTTTCATCAAAGGATCTCTCTGTACTTTGCTCCGTTCATCTTTCCTCGATCCTGACTAGACTCCCAGTCCCTGCCGCTGAAAAACATCCCCACAGCATGATTGCTGCACCACCATGCTTTAACGTAGGGATGGTGCCAGGTTTCCTCCATATGTGACACTTGGCATTCAGGCCAAAGAGTTCAATCTTGGGTTCATCAGATCAGAGAATCTTGTTTCTCATGGTCTGAGTGTCTTTAGGTGCCTTTTGGCAAACTCCAAGCGGGCTGTCATGTCGCTTTTACTAAGGAGTGGCTTCCGTCTGGCTATTGTACCATAAAGGCCTGGTTGGTGGAGTGCTGCAGAGATGGTTGTCCTTCTGGAAGGTTCTCCCATCTCCACAGAGGAACTCTGAAGCTCTGTCAGAGTGACCATCGCGTTCTTGCTCACCTCCCTGACCAAGGCCCTTCTCCCCCGATTGGTCAGTTTGGCCGGGCGGCCAGCTCTAGGAAGAGTCTTGGTGGTTCCAAACTTCTTCCACTTAAGAATGATGGAGGCCACTCTGTTCTTGGGGACCTTCAATGCTGCAGACATCTTTTGATACCCTTCCCCAGATTTTTGCCTCGACACAATCCTGTCTCGGAGCCCTACGGAGAATACCTTTGACCTCATGGCTTGGTTTTTGCTCTGACATACACTGTCAACTGTGGGACCTCATATAGACAGGTTTGGGCCTTTCCAAATCATGTCCAATCAATTTATTTTTATCACAGGTGGACTCCATTCAAGTTGTAGAAATATTTCAAGGAAGATCAATTGAAACAGAATAAACCTGAGCTTAATTTCGAGTCTCATAGCAAAGGGTCTGAATACTTATGCAAATAAGGTATTTCTGTTTTTTTTTTTTAATAGCTGTGCAAAAATTTCCAAAAACCAGTTTTAGCTCTGTCATTATGGGTTATTGTGTGTAGATTGCTGAGGATGTTTTATTTATTCAATCAATTTTAGAATAAGGCTGTAACGTAACAAAATGTGGAAAAAGTAATGGGGTCTGAATACTTTCCTCTAATCTAAGTGATAGATTAGAGGTGTAATTTCTATTGTCTCAGTATTTATTTTGTTGATTGTCGAAAAACTGTGCCTTGTTGTATATGAATGGAACATATGACATGACCCAGATCTGCTGATCTAAACACATTATATCCCAACATAGTTTGACACTGTTATTACATTCCATTGACTGTGGCTGTCCTCCTGTTCCTAGATCCATGCCAGGTTTGTGGAGAACTCTCAGATTATCCTGCGGGTGGATAATGCCAGACTTGCAGCTGATGACTTTAAGATGAAGTAGGTGCACTTCCTCTCTGTACTGTACACCGCTTCTGTGAGTGTACTGTTTCAGTTTGTAGCTCTTGGCCTATATGTTCGAGATTGAGTACATCCAATCCTCCCAGATCTACAGAAATGCTTATGGGGGTAGGCAGGGGCTATGGATCAGTTTATGGTTGGGCAATTTGTATCTTGGTTTGTTGTGAGAAGGAACTAATCAAGCTCTCTCCCCTCCTCAACCCGTATAGGTTAGAGAAGGAGGCTAACATGCGTATGACAACGGAAGGGGATGTGGCTCGTCTGAGAGGAGTCCTAGACAGCTTTACACATGCCAGAGGAGACCTTGAGATGCAGATTGAGGGGCTGATGGAGGAGCTGGTCTACCTCAGGAAGAACCATGAGGAGGTAACCTCCGCAATTCTCGTCACACACTCAAGTCTTAACGCTTGTGCTATTGGCTGAAGTGTCAATGTGCCAGGACAGCCACGTGTTTTTTTCATTTGGACACCATTGCTCCCCCTGTAGTTTTTGCAATGTTTTTGCACTTGAATGTATTTATTAACTCTCAGTGGGTTTGAGACCTTTCCATGTTTGGCCACAAGGGGGCAAAACTCAACCACAACAAATCTATGGCAACTTCACAGTTATTAGTACTGAAATATACAGTAACTCATTGTTTTCACATACTTTTAGCCTTCCCTGTATATAAGTAAACTACAAATCCCAGGTATTATGACACAATTTGTCCCCCTTTTCTTGTTGTTAGGAGATGCATTTGATGCGGACGGAGCAGTGTGGTGCTGTGAATGTGGAGATGGACTGTGCTTCCTCAGTGGACATGAGCAAGGTGCTGGAGGAGATGAGGACCCAGTATGAGGGCATGGTGGCGAAGAACCAGAGAGATGCTGCCGAGTGGTTCAAGAGCAAGGTGAAACAATCTCTGAAAATAGGACAGGGGTCCTCAAAGTGTGTGGGCCCGGGTCCCTAAATGTGTTTTGTGAAGTGTGTAGTAACTAAATAATGATGCATATTATGCTGTGAGAACAAGGAGTCCGCTTACACTGTACTTTGATTATAAAGGTTTATTATATCAAAAGATTTCAGCGTCAATTTACAGACTTCTGCAGGCATCTGGAGAACAACGGACCCGATCTAATATGTTGTTACTCCCCGTCCTTTGTTTTAATCATGGTATTTATAATCTGCGACATGATATGGGTGGTTTCCCCTACAGACCAATCCCATGACTCCACACAACAGACTTCCTCTGTTTTAGGGTGCCCTTATAGAACTGCTCTCCAGATACTTCCCTAAGTTGAATCAACATCCTCTAAAATACCATTTGCAAAAAGTCATAAATTGCTTAGACACTACAAGTGGTACTATACTATTGACTAAAACGATGTGTGTGTGTTTGTGTGTGTCAGGTGGAGGTGCTTCAGAACCAGATCACCACCAGCACCACAGAGGTGAAGACCTCTCAGTCTCAGGTGACCGACCTGAAGAGGACCTTCCAGAGCCTGGAGATTGAACTGCATGGCCTGCTCACTCAGGTATGATGTCAAAACATCTTAGTGAATCAGAATCCCTAAACATATAGCATTTGTCTTTACCCTATCTCTGTTCCTAAAATATGGAATTCCTTTATGTCATAAAGGAACATTACAGTCCAAAATCAAAGTTTGTTAGATGTTTTCAACCTCCACTGTGGTGTAATGTCAAGGTGTTCTAACAGCTTTATGCGCACCAATCTAACTATCTCTACCCTTCTTCATCTCCCTGTTCATCAATTTCTACTACCCTCTCCTTTCTTCATCCCTTACAAACATAAACACATTCCTAGAAGGGGTACCTGGAGCAGAGCGTCACTGATATAAATGGTCGCTATGGCTCCCAGCTGAGCCAGCTGCAGGTTCATATCAACAGCATGGAGGAGGAGCTTCAGCAGCTCAACGTCAGCATCCAGCAGCAGGCCTCCGAGTACCAGATCCTCCTGGACATCAAGATGAGGCTGGAGATGGAGATCGCTGAGTACAGGAGGCTGCTAGATGGAGAGGGACTCAGGTGAGAGGGGATAATGGAGAGGAGGAAAGAGAGGGAGGGGGAAGGGATGGGGGGGGGGGGGGGGGGGGGGGGGGGGGGGGATGACTGCTTATTGGAACCTCATTGCAAACTAAAAGATCAAGATGTGTGTTTGTGAGTTTAGCTGACCGGAAGTGTTCTTCCCCTGTGTATCTACCAGTAGGCATGTAGAGACCCGACAGGAGGTCAGGAAAGTGATCGTGGTTGAGAAGGTCCAGGAAGTACAACAAGTCCAGGAAGTGGTGGAAGGTGAGCAAGCAGGAGAATGATTAATAAAATGAATGAATCAGTGAAAGAATCAAGTGTTGTTACCCATCATACGCACAATTAATTAATTAATGAATTCCTGTTTTGTGGCTCTTTCCACAGAGTACAACCCACACATGCAGAAGCGTGTGAGGGTGATCGTGGAGGAGATGGTGGATGGGAAGGTGGTGTCCACCTCAGTTGATGAGAAGGTCCAGGATATAAACTGAGAAGGCCAGATAGTTCCGGGATCTGGTGAAGTGGTAATGGACCACACATTCCCCTGCAAACGGGGGTTCAAGCCTCGTCTCTATATATATGTCATGGTTGCATACTGTAATATTTCCCTTCTGACAGGATTGCATCAGCTGAATGATAACTGATGTAATTTACTCATGTTACCTTATAATTCTTATATGGCTCTATCATATAGCAAATGGAATATTATTTATAGAATGTGTTTTTCCTGTTGTTCCATTCGTTGCCACCAGGTGGCATTTCTCTCATTTAAACATCTTTGGCCAGCCCGATTAAAAGTGGAAACAGATTATTACAGTTACATAAGTGACATCAGGGAAAATATTACTTGCATCATCAGCCATTATAAAGCTATTTTAGTTCCATTGTATACTCCCAGGATCACAAGCAATGTACGTTCTCTGTACTCTATGACAGGTTTAAAGTTCATGTTCTGTAGGCCTACGACACCGACGCTGCATGATACAATTGGCTGTAGATCAAATCTAGATGTCAATGCATTACAGGACACTGATATCATAATTGAGGGTGTGTTGTTGTCCTCTAAAAAGCTGAAAGAAACATCTTTACAGCAGTGGCGGTCGGTGCCGTTTAAGGTGAGGGAGGACGACAATTTTTTTAATGAGCATGGCCTTATTTCTATTACAGCATATTGGATGACTGTCGTTCATATTCCATTCACCCAGTTCAATGTAACAACGATAGGTGTAAGCTTCAACATGATGCTTGAATGTTCCCTATACCCATCATGTGGTTGCTACAAGCTAGTCTATAAATGAAAGTTTACAATGCAGGTGCACACAGGTCCAGAGAAAACATTTGAGGCGACAGACAGTGACACATTCAATACCGCCTTGCCCACTCTTGCCTGCATCTAGCTGATCTAGGGTGTAATCAACAGTTGCAAACGAGAGTTTCTATTGGCCAAATTCAGGTATGTTTATCCCCTTTTTGTTCCGTTTGCTTCCGTTTAAGAAAGGTTTGTCAACAGAATCGGCGGAATGAATACACCCCTGATCACACGTAAGCACAGTTCACTTTTATAGCGGCCACGTTGCATTCGATCTCGCATTTTCGTGCTTTCCTTCTCTCACCTTTTCAATTTGCTTGTGGACTTCAATGCACAACACATCAGCTATCTGTGACCAGGCAAAAAACACAGCCTACATCATTGTCATCATATTAGCTAAAGCAACATCATAGTCAACATAGCTAATATAACTAATGTGTTAGTAAACCCGCAAAAATTATGCAGTACAGTGTACAGACAGTAAGCAATTTAGCAGTTACACCGGAGGGCCCCGGTGGCAACAAATTAACAAAACCAAAAGCTTACCTTGACTTGGAAGAGTTCCAGTGTTGGATAGCCATAGCCAGCTAGTTAACATAGCATCCCTCTGTTTGACCCAGGTGTTTGAGTAGGTTAAACATGCTAGCTGCATTTGATAGCTAAGTATTGAAAGTGAAAAAATCTAATGTAAAATCAAACGAAATACAGCTCTCAATCTCTCTCATTTCTGAATAAATTAATTAGTTAAAAACTGTTTAAATGTTGTCTTTCTCTCTCTTTGAGTCAACTACTCACCACATGTTATGCACTGCAGTGCAACTAGATGTAGCTTTTGCTTTCAGTACTAGATTCATTACCTGATCCTTTGATTGGGTGGACAACATTTCAGTTCATGCTGCAAGAGCTCTGATAGGTTGGAAGAAGTCCTCTGGAAGTTTTCATAGTTACCGTGTAAGTCTATGGAAGGGCTGAGAACCATGAGCCTCCTAGGTTTTGTATTGAAGTCAATGTACCCAAAGGAGGAAGGAAACAAGGGGTTTTCTGTATTTTTACATTGTGGAATAATAGTGAAGACATCAAAACTATGAAATAACACATATGGAATCATGTAGTAACCAAAAAGGTGTTAAAGAAATCAAAATATATTTTGTATTTCATAGAATCATCCCAAACCATCTCAATTTGGTTGAGGTCGGGGGATTGTGGAGGCCAGGTCATCTGATGCAGCACTCCATCACTCCCTTTCTTGGTAAAATAGCCCTTACACAACCTGGAGGTGGGTTGGGTCATTGTCCTGTTGAAAAATAAATAATAGTCCCACTAAGCCCAAACCAGATGGGATGGCGTATCGCTGCAGAATGCTGTGGTAGCCATGCTGGTTAAGTGTGCCTTGAATTTTAAATAAATCACAGACAGTGTCACCAGCAAAGCACCCCCACACCATAACACCTCCTCTTCCATGCTTTTACGTGGGAAATACACATGCGGAGATCATCCGTTCACCCATACCATGTCTCACAAAGACACGGCGGTTGGAACCAAAAATCTCCAATTTGGACTACAGACCAAAGGACACATTTCCACCGGTCTCATGTCCATTGCTCGTGTTTCTTGGCCCAAGCAAGTCTCTTCTTCTTAATGGTGTCCTTTAGTAGTGGTTTCTTTGCAGCAATTCGACCATGAAGGCCTGATTCATACAGTCTCCTCTGAACAATTGATGTTGAGATGTGTCTGTTATTTATTTGGGCTGCAATTTCTGAGGCTGGTAACTCTAATGTACTTATTCTCTGCAGCAGAGGTAACTCTGGGTCTTCCATTCCTGTGGCGGTCCTCATGAGATCCAGTTTCATCATAGCTCTTGATGGTTTTTGCAACTGCACTTGAAGAAACGTTCAAAGTTCTTGAAATGTTCAGTGTTGACTGACCTTCATGTCTTAAAATAATGATGGATGGTCGTTTCTATTTTCTTATTTGACCTGTTCTTTCCATAATATGTACTTGGTCTTTTACCAAATAGGGCTATCTTCTGTATACCCCACCTACCTTGTCACAACAGAACTGATTGGCTCAAATGCACTAAGAAGGAAAGAAATTCCACAAATTAACTTTTAAGAAGGCACACCTGTTAATTGAAATGTATTCCAGGTGACTACCTCATGAAGCTGGTTGAGAGAATGCCAAGAGTGTGCAAAGCTGTCATCAAGGCTTGAAGAATCTCAAATATAAAATATATCTTGATTTGTTTAACCCTTTTTTGGTTAGTAAATGATTCCATATGTGTTATTTCATAGTTTTGATGTAGTTACAATGTAGAAAATAGTAAAAAGAAAGAAAAACCCTTGAATGAGTAGGTGTTCTAAAACATTTGACCGGTAGTGTATATATCAGTTTAAACAGCTAAGAGTATGACATGGAGTAGCTCTGGTCCAGGGCGTTATGTGCAGCTTGATCTATTAAGGCTCAAACCACATGTTAGGCCCTGGACCAGAGCTAGACATGGAGCAGATACAGTAAAGGCAGGTTTGTCATGCAGAGAAATGTTGGGCCTCATTCACCATCATTCAAAACGTTTAGAAGTTCTATACAGTCGTAGTAATTGCATCCATAATGCAGTGATTGATTACTTATTCAATTCCGAGTGTTACAACAATCTTTCCTCTCGGTCAACAGGTGATACATAAGCACAATTAATTATACAGCTAAGATGTGTATGTACCTGGTCCATTACTTCAAGCTTAAGCTAATTTAACAGAATGGCTCTGGTCAAAAGTAGTGCACTCTATAGAATTGGGTTTCATTTGTGACGTATCCTATGAGGGTTGTCTGAAAACAGAGGTATCTTCTGGTCCTAGCTATATCTTCCTCATCTGAGCCATCAGCTCCTCTAGACTCTGTTCCGTCTCCTTGACCGTCTCCCCTAAGACGAAAAATGTTTCATGGGCCGTGTCCGAATACCCATTCTAGTGTTCTAAATAGTAGGCATTTTGAGTATGCGAAAATAGAACGTTATACAGTATGTGAAATTTCAGTAATGTAGTATGCTTTAAATTGCAGGATGTACTGATTTCGGCTTTTCATCTAGTATAATTTTCTGCACACTACTGAGGAAGAGAATGTTTTTGACCACAGCTGATAATCAGAATGGCGGTATTCAAAGCAACTGATCATTAGATGACGCCTTCGCAGCATGGATGAGTATAGTATGTTGATATTAGTTGTGTACTGCATTCGTTTTTACTAAGCAGTTCATTCTAAATAGTATGCATTTTAAGTAAGTAGTAGAAAGCCATTGTTACTTGAAACTACTTCAGATCTGCCAATTACTTTTACTGACTCATACATAGCAGTGGTGGCTAGTGGCAATTTAAATCAGAGGACGGCTCATAGTACCGGCTGAAACAGAATGAATGTTATGGTATCAAGCACATGGTTTCCATATGTTTGCTAACCTTTCATTCAATCCATTCCTTTCCAGCCATTACTATGAGCCGTCCTCCCCTCACCAGCCTCCACTGATACATGGGGGCTTGGCTTTTCTGTACTACAATCAATCAATCAATCACATTTTATTTATAAAGCCCTTTTTACATCAGCAGATGTCACAAAGTGCTATACAGAAACCCTAAAACCTCAAACAGCAAGCTATGCAGATGTAAAAGCACGGTGTCTAGGAAAAACTCCCTAGAAAGGCAGAAACCTAGGAAGTAACCTAGAGAGAAACCAGGCTCTGAGGGGTGGCCAGTCCCCTTCTGGATGTGCTGGGTGGAGATTATATATCCAAGATGGCGTAGCAGTGCGGTCGTGTTCTTTGTTGTGTGTCTGTGTAAATAGCCAGTTTTTTGTATTTTTTGTATTTTTCGTACATATTTCCCTATCACACTTTTCATCCTTCTACAAAATATACTTTCCTGCAACCCGCCTCACTCAATGTGGAACGGATTCTATTATTGACTTACCTTTTATCTAGAATCTCCAGTTGAAACTAGCTAGCCAGCTAACTAGATACTTGCTATTAGCCACCGTTAGCGGTTTTCACCCAGAACATCGGATTCACTGAATCACTGGACATTAACACCGGATCGCAACTAGCTAGTCACAACCGAATGGATGTTGCTGTTTGGCTAATCACCACTGCCCTCGAAGCAAGCACCAGTTAGCCTTGAGCTAGCCCCATATCCCGGC